AAAAGATTGTTCAAAACATTGAATAAGAGATCTTAAATAGAAGAGCTTTAAAGGAGCTCATTAATTGCAAGTTGCTGACAATACGTCCAGGCTGATATGGACATCGGCCTGGCCGATCAGTACAAAACTCAGAAGATCGGATAGAGCATCGCCCTGAATGCAAGCTGGACAATTTCAAATTGGCTTGATTGTCCAGGCCGATCTCTCGATCGGCCCGTCCGATCAGTTCAAATCAGAGGAAAATCGTCCAGAGCATCGTCCTAAATTTGAGCTAGCCGATATTTATCGTCATGAAGTAACTAAGGTTTTTGAATAGATCGTCCAGGACGATATGATCGTATCAATCATCCTTAATTACTCCCTTGATTTCCTGATCAATTAAGGCATAATTTGTGAATATCGTCCAGGCCGATCAATGATCGTCCTGGATGTTTATTTAAAAATACAGTATACCTTAATTATCTATGGCGGCAACTTCTTTCTGTTTTGAGCTTATCGTCCTAGCCGATACACGTATCGTCCAGGCCGATCAGTTAATGACGACTGCCTTAATTAAGAATGCATATTTAGACTTTCTGTTTTAAACATGATTGCCCAGGACTATGTAAATATCGTCCTGGCCGATATTTATAAAAATAGAAATTCTAATTCTCTCAAGTGTGTGTGTGTGGGATTACTTAGCATCAGTCTCTTTGACCATTACAAAAAGACTCAAGAAGAGAAAAAACAAAGTACAGACTGACTCAACCCTAAACCTACGCAATCTTGAACTGGCTTCTTTTGTTCATCCGATCTTCGATTCCTGAAAAGTTAGAAGCAACATGCAGTCCAAGAGAATCAATAGTGTTTATCAATCATTAAAACATAAGTCATGAAAATAGATTTGCAACATCTCTCAAACTCAAGTAAAAAAAATATAGACTCCAAGTTATAAAATATTATAAGCAAATCTTGATTTTAAATCTTCAACAATCTGTAATATGATTTTCCTGAAATTTTAGTACGCACAAGAACCAAAAATAATTCTTTCCAAAATGTGTTAGGAGAAAATAATAATCAAAACAATAATATTTGGAATTATCAAAATATATAAGTTGCAATAATTTAAATCATGCAAAGCTAAGTAGCAACTCTCTCAATATGATAGATCCTCGGTTGACATTAAGCTCTCAAAATATAAATTTAGTGACATCCTAAACCTCCCAGATTTTTCTAGTATTTTTTAGGAGCACTTAGAGCCCTTAATTAACAAATCCTAGTTTACTCATTAATTAGGGCCCCAATAACTTTAAAAAGTTATCATAAATTCATTTCAACTTAGAAAATTATTTGTAATACCTAAAATTATTCATAATTTAACCCTTAACCTCAAATAATTAGGGTCCCTTAGATTGATTTTAATTTGGACTTTAATTTAATTTTGATTTAAATATACCTTTTTTGGCCTTATTAAATATTTAAAAATTATTAAAAATTCCAAAATTTCTTGAAACACTTGGGAACACTCCCTTATGTCATTTTTGACTTTTGGGGGTGATTCTATTTAATTTGGAGCTGATTTGGATCAAAACCCCTAAGGTACCCCTTTATTAAAGAATTTTGATAATTCATTAATTGCCTAAAACTTCTAAAGTTCATAACTTTGCCAAAAAAACTTCAAATATAGCAAAATCAAAGCCTAATTACTCATTGTAAGCCCTAATATTTAACTAAAATTCTAGAACTTCTAAACCCAGCCTATTTATGAAAATGGTCTTTTGGACCCCCTTAACCTAACACATAGGAGGACCTGAATCCTTTCAAAATTAGCTAATATAATTTAAACTTCTAAGATGACTACCCTAAGAATTAAAAGGGATCAATAAACTAAGTTAACTAAAATTGATCCTAATTTATTAATATTTAAATTTTAATTAAAGTTTCTCCTTTTGGCCTTCAATAAACTTAAACTATATACAACTTGAACTAATTACCTTGCATATGACCTATCCAAAGCCACAAAAGCCTACTACACACACATAGGTTTGCTAGGGCACCACTTCTAGCTCTAGGATTAGTGCCGATGCTTTATTTCTTTTTTTACATTTTATGATGCAATTGTGTGGCACGAGTGCTAATTGATTGCCCTTATTTATTGTGATTGATGTGATGCTTATTTCATTATTATATTTTCTATTCTTTGCTTATAATTGATGTGTGTGTTAGACTGCCCATGGGCTAGGGACACTTTTATACTAATCCAATCTTAAAAAGGTGGCCACGCTTATGCAGCACTAAAATAAAGGGGGCGGTAATAATTAAAAGCTTTATGACTAACATTATTTTCTACAGATGCTCCAGAGACTTCTTAGCCCCCCACTTTAAAATTAAAAGAGTATGACCAAGCATGTTTATCTTTTATGAACAAAATATTAACTACTTGGATATGATATATGAACTGCTTATGATTTTTGTTAGGATTACCATGCATGAGTTCAAGTCTAGATTTTCTTTTTTAAAATATAATGTAATTCACTATATTAACTTATGAAAGTTCTTAAAAGTTTGTCATTTCAAGAACTCGATACCCAAAGAGAATAAGAAAGGCACTTTATAGGGAATTTCTTAATCATTTCGCTGCCCTTCCGGAGGATGAACCATACGGAGCTCGAAGGAGATGATCCAAAGGAAGATGAGCCAGAGGAGGATGATCCACTTGAAGATGAAGACTTGAAGATGAAGTGCATGGATTTTTAATACTTGTGTCATTCATTAGGATTAGAATACAGGTTATTTTTGGTGGAGCCTAGCCACCATTACTTTTTTGCAGACCCTGGGTTGTATTTATACATCACTTGCCGTTGACTTTCTTACTTTACTTTTTTATAGAGTTATATTGACGTGTTTACTATTAATTACATAATAGAACTAGCCTTCTTTTTCTAGTTTTATTTCTTGCATATGCTTAGCCTATTTTTGCTAGGCTCTTTAAGGACTAAAACTTTTTCTACTCGTAAATAACATTCAAAATTTTAAGGTTTAAATAACTTAGAAACTTAATGACCAATGGAACAGCCATAATCTTTCAGGGTCACATGCATATTATTACATCCTTCTCTCTCCCTTCTTCTAATAAGATACTTCTCCGCCTGCGGGTAGAGTTCGGATAATCTGGCCTATGAGAATGAAGTGCCACACCTATGGAGGCCCAATTTTTTCTAAAAAATTATTTTATATAAGCCTATTTTTAAAATCTTATACAAATTTGATTTGAGAACATTTCAACTAGCATATATATTATATTAAAAACTAATCTAATTAAAGCTTTAATTGCATTAGTTTTAGGAGCATTCACCCTATATAAGTCCAGGGCCAATTAGGAAACTCTCTAGACATCGGCCCTACTTTAAAAAACTAAACTACCTACCCCATCTTTCAAAAAGACTAGACTACATAGATATTATGCACTGAGGTGGTTAGCTGGCTTTCCTTTTCAGGTAGAATATAAGCCAATATGCATTAACTAGGACATGGATGTTAGTGTTGGATAAAATACTAACCCACCTTAGATTTGAGGTTCAAGGCTACTACATTTAGTTCTCATAGTATGCCTCATTGGTAGATAAGTCTCCCTTTCTTTGAGATCTATAAATCCTATTTATCTGTGTCACGTAGATGATGCCACTTCCATCTTTTCCCTCTATATGTTCTAAGTATATGATTCTCTTCCTCTAATTATAGCTTTAGTCTCTCCGGATGCTGTGTGAACCGTGTATATTGAATAAGCTGAGTTAAGCCCTTTCTTTTCTTTTAAGTAGGATTTCTTAGTCTCCCTTTGTGTGTTAATCCCTTATCTGGGAAGAATAATGTTGGATCCTTAAGCGAGAGTTTTCTCTAGCCCTAGGCTTGAGATGTAATTGATCACGGGGGCTTGCATCAGTGGGAAATGAAACTCCACCATTAAATAAACCCCACTCGAGTTGATGTATCGGGTGGGGGAAACTCATTATTTTGATCAGGTCATATATATTACTACCCATCGAGGTGCACTGATAATATCTATTATCCTCAATGGTTAGTCATATGTATGATCTAATCTGCCCTCGCATTGGCGTGTTTGTGAGGAGTGTAGGGGTCTGCAA